TATAAAAAAACGAAACAGTATGAAGTAACACAGTATAATAATAAGAATAACAACAATTACAATAGAAAAAAACATCACAGAACGAATACAGCTCAACACAGAGATAGCAACCGGGGATCTACCAGGATATCGTCCTGTAGCCTCCAAATGTATATATCCAGTGGATCTCTAGGGTGTCGTCCCGTAGTCCAATTTATAGTGGGCGGGGATCTACCAAAATCCCAATCTGTAGTCCCAAATGTAAATACTCAGTACTGGGGGAATCTACCGGGTGTAGTCTTGTAGTTCCATATAACTGCGCAGGGGGATCTGTCAGAATATCAACCCCTAGTCCCAAATGAACAGGCAAGGGGGATCTACCGGGAAATCGTGCGTAGTCCCAAAGTAAACACACAACAACAACACGAATAAAATCCAATTCAATCCAATGTCATACCAAAGTAAACAGGTAATTCTAACCTAGCATGCTGCACAGAATTGAGATGAAGCAGTTTGAGCAAGTAAAACAATCGAGTCATTTAGACATGCTTTCCTAGCTAACAGTAGGTTTAACTTTCAAGTAGTGTAAACAGGGAAGAAATACACAATTATAGTTATTTAATGAAAAACCGAATTTCCTACAATTAGCACATGTACGCACTCTTCACCTCACGTAGGATTTTCATTCCTCCCGCCAAAGCTAGAAAAGAAAGGAGCTCTCTCTTTTTTCCAGCCTTCTTTTTATTTTAAAGGCATATAGTGCGTTCTCGCTTTCAGGGGGAATTCAAGTCAAAATCTAGTACAAAGAGGAAGCGAAAGGCTAGCTACCAGGTACGGACGACGAATTCTTACGTGGTCCAAGGAAATCAAAGGTCCGCTCCCACGAATTAAATCTATATTAAATCTCTTAATATCAGAATAGCCGTGCAAGGCATTTCATATAACAACAATACCAATCCTAAAGGGAGTTCCCCCACACAAGGTTAGGCAAGCCACTTTCCTCGAAGCAGCTCAATCAACTCGATATCATATTCTTGCCACGAGTACTCGACTCCAAATGGCCCAAATCTATTCAAAGTAATTGCATAATGTAAATTTGACTTCAAGCAACTAATTCAACTAATTAATTCGAAGCTAATACGCGAAATTAGGAAAATCGCCCAAAAGGTCCCCCGGGCCCACGTCTCGGAATCGGGTAACTTTTACAAATTCAGATTCCTCGCATTCTCACGAGTTCATACATACCAAAAACATGAGAATCAGACTACAAACAACCCCTCAAATCCCCAATTCCATGTCTCAAATTTCAAACCCTAAACCCCCAAATTTAACCCTTATTTCCTATATATTCCTTGCCCAAATCAGTAGAAAATACAATAATAACGAGTTTGAGTTCCAAAAATCTTACCTCCTCGAAGCTCTCTTGAATCCTCTCTCAAAAACCTCCCAAAAGCTCAAAAATCTGGATGAAAATGGTGAAGAAAATGGGCAAAATCGCGACTGAACCTTTATATAGGTTCTGTCCCAGGATTTCTGCACCTGCGGACATTTCCTTGCACCTGCGGACCCGCACATGCGGTCGTAGGTGCACATCTGCGGGATTTCATTAATTTCCCTGGGCCGCACCTGCGCTTCTTCTACCGCACATGCGGTCTCACAGGTGAGCTCAAACTACCGCACCTGCGGAATCTGGCTTCCAAGCACATAGCCACATCTGTGGCTCCTTAAGCTTCTGTGATCACGTACCTGCGGTCCCCTAACCGCAGGTGTGGTTATGAGAGAACTTTAGCAACCTTCAGATTTCTCCAAAGTCAAATTCTACTTCCGTTAAGCATCCGAAACTCATCCGAGGCCCCCGGGACCTCAACCAAACATGCCAACCAATCCTAATACATCATACAAACTTATTCCAACCATCTAATCACATCAAACAACGCTAAAACCACAAATCACTCTCCAGTCCAAGCCTAAGGATTTCCAGAACTTCCAATTTGCGCTTTTGATCAAAAAGTCTATCAAACCTCGTCCAAATTACCTGAAATTTCGCACACTCACCCCAAATGACACAACGGACCTACTCCAACTTCCGGAATTCCATTCCGACCCCGATATCAAAATCTCACTATCGAACCGGAAACTTCAAAAATTCGACTTTCGGCATTTCAAGCCTAATTAAGCTACGTACCTCCAAAACACAATCCGAATACATTCCTAAGCCCGAAATCACCCAATGGAGCTAACGGAACCAACGGAATTCCATTCCGAGGCTGTCTTCACTCTGCTCCGACTACGGTCCAAATTCTAAAGCTTGAACTCTTATTTAGGGACTAAGAGCCCCAAAACACTCCGAAACTCAAAACGAATCTTCCCGGCAACTTACAATAGCAAAAAATAAGCACGGGGGAAGCATTTATTAGGGGATCGTGGCATTAATTGTAAAAATGACCGGCCAAGTCATTACACAGATAGAAGGGGAAATGTATGCAGTCACAATTCAAACAGGAATGACAGAAGAAATGATCAGGGTCCAAGAAATCGAGGGTTGGTGAATAGAAACGAGCTCGATATATTGGCCAGAGTCTGGGATGCCCCGAGGCTATTGAAGTATAGCTTCAACGTAGATGAAACAAATATAGTGTCAGCCATCATCGCATCAAGGAGACCAAATGACTGAGGCCGCTTCAGTCTGATCCGGCATAAAGGGATCACAATTTGATATGAAAATATCACTGTACTCACGGCCATAGAACCGAGGATTTTTGACAATTAAGGGAAGAATTGGCTCGTTTGTTTAATAATGGGAACTTTTGGGAAATCCTAAGCAAGCGGGCCAAAAGTCATTTCAATTACAGGGATGCCAACAATCTGATCGAGCAGGAATAAGCCCAACATGTGATTAATATGATATCGGAGGGGTAGATGTTCCTAAATGGCCGATGATAAAATGCACCAAAGTCTCCATCACAAGAGAAAAACAAACTCGAGATTATGTTCCGGAAGGATCGACAAACGGATGAAGATATGAAAAGCTCGAAGGTAACTTATGAAAATTTAAAGTCAGAAAGTAAAAAAGTGAAAGTGAGAAAACAGACCTTTTATAGGGAAAAAGTAATGATAGCGAGACGTTTCGAATTTGGTAACTACCGAGGGTGTTCAATCGACAACTGAGCATGTCCAAAGTCAAAGTGACGTGACTGATGGGACATTTTAGTTCGTCAGCTTGTGCATGATTTATGAGAGAAGGAACCAGGGTCAATTAGTCACTTATCATTGCTCCTACAATTTAGTCTCCGAGAAGTGAGGACACTATATGTATAATGGTAATATCGAGGATAAAGTTACCCTAATTTTATATTGTGAAACGAGGAACGGCGTTACTTGTTACTAGCTCGAGTGAGATTGAAGACAAACATAGATCGGAACCAAGAATGTATGAATAATATAATAGGTATCGAGCATGGCGAAACTCAGCGGGAATCAAGCTCTAGTGAGATGAAGATTCGAGGGTAAAGGAAAGGCGGTTAAAGGAGACAAACGGGGAGCCGAAATATCTGCCACCGGGTATTGCTGCGTGGATCACATTCGATATTTGCCGCGGATCTTATTTTCGTGGGAGAGAAGGAAGGATTTTTTTAACCTTATTTAGACTTGTACTAGGGTTAAATCTCCTTTACTATATAGAGAGGAGGACCCCTTCATTTTTTGTGGACTATTTTTCATGCATAACAAGGCAATAAAATTTACTTTGGCTCTCAACAATAGTTTTAAGTGCTCTGTAGTTGTTCACTCGTTTATTCGGATCCGAGTTCTGTCTCGAGGCTCGGATGAAAGAGGCTCAGATTAGACGAAGATGGCAGGACATATTTCCAAAAACTCCTGAACGTAGAGGGTGATAGGGACCTTGTGCTGGGCGACTTGGAGCACTCCGAGATGTGCCAAGATTTTGGGTATTGTAGGCGCATAAGAGTAGAGGAGGTCGAGGGGGATATGCGTAAGATGCACAGGGGCCAGAGCTACTGGGCCAGATCAAATACTTGTGGAATTTTGGAAGAATGCGGGTAGGGAAGGTTTGGAGTGGTTCACCAGGCTATTCAACGTCATTTTTAGGATGAAGAAGATGCCAGATGAATGGAGGTGGAGTACAATGATTTCTCTGTATAAAAACAAGGGCGATATCCAAAATTGCAATAATTATAAGGGGATTAAGATTCTAAGCCATACTATGAAAGATTGGGAGAGGGTGGTTGAAGTGAGGGTGAGGACCAGTCCATTTCTGAGAAATAGTTCGATTTCATGCAGGGGAGTTCGACTATGGAAGCCATTCACATTGTGAGGAGATTGGTGGAGCGGTATAGGGTGATGAAGAAGGACTTGCACATGGTGTTCATTGATGTAGAGAAATCATATGACAAAGTCCCAAGAAAAGTGCTCTGGCGATGCTTGGAGGCTTAAGGGGTCCCAGTAGCATACATTAGGGTGATTAATGACATGTATGATGAAGCTAAGACTCGGGTTAGGGCAGCGGGAGGAGACTCAAAACACTTTCTGGTTATGATGGGGTTGCACCAGGGATCAACTCTTAGTCCATTCCTATTTTCCTTGGCGATGGACGCATTGATGAGACACATTCAAGGTGAGGTGCCATGGTGTATGTTATTTGCTGATGACATAATTTTAATTGACAAGACGCGGGGTGGTGTTAACGAGAGGCTGGAGGTTTGAAGGCAGACCCTAGAGTCTAAGGGTTTCAAGTTGAGCAGGACTAAGACAGAATACATGGAGTGCAAGTTCAGCAACCCTACCCAGGAAAAGGATATATGTGGAGGTGATGCTTGATACGCAAGAGTCATCCTCAAGAGAGGTAGTTTCAAGTATCTTGGATCTATAATACAAGTTGACGGGGAGATTGATGAAGATGTCACGCATCGTATCAGTGGAGGCTCGCTTCCAGTGTCTTGTGTGATAAGAATGTGCCGCTGAGACTTAAAGGTAAGTTCTATAAGGTTGTAGTTAGACCGACTATGTTGAATGGAGCAGAGTTTTGGCCGGTCAAGAACTCTCATACCCATAAGCTAAAAACAGCTGAGATGAGGATGTTGAGGTGGATGTATGGGCATACCCGGTTGGATAAGATTAGGAATGAAGTTATTCGGGAAAAGTTGGGAGTTGCCCTAGTGGATGATAAGATTCGGGAGGCGAGGTTGAGATGGTTCGGGCATGTTAAGAGGAGAAGTATAGAAGCCCTAGTTAGAAGGTGCGAGCGGTTAGCTTCGATGGGTAGCAGGAGGGGTAGAGGTAGACTTAAGAAGTCTTGGGGAGAGGTAATTAGACGGGACATGGCTCAGCTGGAGCTGGCTGAGGACATGGCCCTAGACAAGAGGGTGTGGAGGTCAAAGATTAGGGTAGAAGGTTCGTAGATAGACAAGCGTTTCTCTTTGTATTACTTAATTCACTAGCATTAGTGTTAGTATGATATCTTTTATCCATAGATGGCTATTACTACCTAGAGTTTGACTGCATTCTTGGATTCAATCTTATTTTACCTTGCTATTATTCCTACTTGTTGCAATTACCTTTTCTTTTTCAATCGTTCTCTAGCCGAGGGTCTCGGAAACAGCCTCTCTGCCCTTCCACAGGTAGGGGTAAGGCTACGACATATTACCCTCCCCAAACCCCACTTATGGGAAACTACTGGGTTTGTTGTTGTTGTTGAGTTCTGTCTCGAGGGCTCAATCGATACCAACCGTTGGCATTTAAGATAAATACAAGGCTTAATTACTACGTCACTTTGGTTTGTTCGTTTTATCTCATTTCAATTCAACTATTTACTGTTTCTTGATCATTTGTGTTAAATTAAACCAAATATTCTTTAAATCACGTACAAATTTAATTGTTATCCATTTTAAGGGATAAACAATCACAAGATTGATATACCACTTGGATTGGTATGGTCAAACATGTAACCTACTCTTATTCACTAAAAAAAACTGGGGTAACTGCGGCAGTCAGATGTGCTTATAGCGGCGGTTATGAACCGCCGTAATTGTCATGAATGGGGCCCACATACCCGCCATAATCGCTTCCGCCAAAAGGTGTAATATGGCAGTTTTCATCTAACTGCCGCAATATGCAGATAAAAGCGCCGCAATATGCATATTTAAGTACGACTGTTTACTTTGCTTATTGTGGCGGTTTGTAACCACCGTAATTGCGGTCTTTTTCAAATTATAGCCATTTTATACTGCTATAATTGTAATATTTTTAATTTTAACTTTCAATTCCACATTTAGATCCTTTATCCTTCCTACTGCACAAAATCCATCATAATATATTATCAAGCACCCATCGTAATAATTAACATAAATTATAGTAGAGAATTAGATAAGCAAAATATTCATCATATTAAAACATACCCAAAATCCACATCATCCAAGATTCAAGTTTAAGGTGCAGAGAGTTAAGAGAGTTACTCAATAGTTACAACACAAAAAAATATAGTTCATCCTAACAATGATTACTAATTGTTGTTTTCTCCCTTTTCATAGTTACTGTCACAATCCGGATTTTCCACCCCCGGGAGTCATGATGGCGCCTACTGGTGAATGCTAGTCAAGCCGAGTATTGTGGATTCATTTCCCTTTTTACCTATCCTTTTTAATAGTTCAATATAATAGGTAATCAAACATCGGAAATATTAAAATAACCAGAAATGTGGAAGACAAAAACTTAATAGTTTAACCAAACATTGATACATGAATCCGAAATACAACTCTACCCAGAATCTGGTGTCACAAAGTCACGGACTATCTACGAATACTACAAACAGAGGTCTGAAAGATATATACAACGTTGTCTCTGAAATACATAAAAGAAACAGAATGAAAAGGTAGAAGGAGACGCCAAGGCCTGCGGATGCCTGAAGGACTACCTCGAGTCGCTAATGGACTAAAGGCAGCAACCTCACTGCGGTCCGAAAGCTGCAGCACCGGGATCTGCACACAGTGCAAAGTGTAGTATCAGCACAACCGACCCCATGTGTTGGTAAGTGCCTAGCCTAACCTCGGCGAAGTAGTGACGAGGCAAGGACCAGGCTACCAAATACACCTGTGCAGTTAAATCATATACAGCAGAAAAATAAAGGCAGATATTTACAGTTAAGGATGGGAGGGGGAAAGCATGCTGCCGGGAATATCAGATAACAACAGAATACCAATAGAGAAATGTAAGGAAACCACAATTCAATTGCAAACAAGAATAAGGAAAATCCGAAAAACCGTTGCGGCGTGCAACCCGATCCTATTTCATATCAAATCGTTGCGGCATGCAACCCGATCCCATTTCACATAATACTGTTGCGGCGTGCAACCCGATCCCATTTCACATAATACCATTGTGGTGTGCAACCCGATCCCATTTCACATAATACCGTTGCGGCGTGCAACCCGATCCCGTTTCACATAATACCGTTGCGGCGTTCAACCCAATCCTATTTCACATAATACTATTACGGCGTGCAACCCGATCCCATTTCATATAATACCGTTGCAGCGTGCAACCCGATCCCATTTCATATAATACCGTTACGGCGTGCGACCCGGTCTCATTTCAATTCAACATCAATCATAAAAGAATCCCAACAATGGAACAAGAGCATAACAAAAACATCCCGACAAGGGAGACAATATCATAAATAATAACATCCCGGCAAGGGAGACAATATCATAAATAATAACATCCCGGCAAGGGAAATCAACAATGATAATCATCATATTAGGCATGAATAAATCACAACGGAGTTACAACAATTCCAATACGAGACTCACGGGCATGCTTGACACTGACGTATAGATACTCGTCACCATGCCTATACGCCGTACTCCACAATTAACACATAGCAAGTAAGACACAACTCCTGAACCCTCAAGCTAAGGTTAGACCAAACACTTACCTCGATGCCACGAATCCAATTCAAGCCTTAACTACCGCTTTACCTCTTGTTTCCACCACAAATTTGCTTGTATCAAGCCACAATTTACTTAACGGTATCAACAAATGCTAAATGAATCAATTCTAATGCATGAAAATAAGTTTTCCAATGATTTCCCCAGAAAGTCAAAAATCGACTCCGGGCCCACATGGTCAAAACACGAGGTTCGAACCAAAACCCGATTACCCATTCACCCACGAACTCAAATATATAATTTGTTTTTAAATCGGACCTCAAATCGAGGTCGAAATCCCCAAAATTCGAAAATCCTAAGTTCTACCAAAAACACCCAATTTCCCCCATGAAAACCCTTGGTTTTAAGTAGAAATCATGTAAAAAGATGGTTTACATTGAAAGAAATGACTTAGAAATGACTTACTAATGATTTGGAAGAGTAGTTGCCTTTGAAAAATCGCCTAAAGATGTTTTAGGTTTGAGAGAGTTTGAAAAATGAGCAATTTTTGGCTAAGTTATGATTTACCAGGTTGCAGATGTCGCAATTGCGACCAGGGTTCGCAATTGCGAACCCTTATGGAACCTGCTGACTTCGCAAATACAAAGAATTTGTCGCATTTGCAACCATGGGGAAGTACTGTCACCTTCGCATTTGCGAGGGACATGTCGCATTTGCGACATCGCAATTGCGAGGAAAGGTCGCTTTTGCGACCAAGGCCTGCCCAGCCCAGTCTTCGCAAATGTGAATGGGTGTTCGCAAATACGAGCTCGCAATTGCGAGCCAGGCCTACAGACCTGCAACACACAACAGTTTTTCCTAAGTTCAAAACACTGAAGCCTATCCAAAACTCACCCGAGCCCTCGGGGCTCCAAACCAAACATGCACGCAAGTCCAAAAACATCATACGGACTTGCTCGTGTGGTCGAATCTTCAAAATAACATCAATAACTATGAATTTAGCATCAAAATCAAAGAAAAATCTCATGAACTCTTAAGTTCCATTTTTAACAACCGATCATCCGATTCACGTCATATCAAGTCCGTTTCTTACCAAAATTTTACAGGCTCAACTTAAACATCATATAAGACCTGTATCGGGCTCCGGAACAAAACTACGGGCCCAATACCATCATATTCAAACTCATTTAGATTTCTGAAAACTCTTATAATTTCAGTTAAACAATTTTCTTCAAAAATTCATTTCTCGGGCTTGGGATCTCGGAATTCAATTCAGGGCATAAGCCCAAGTCCCATATTTTCCTACGGACCCTCCGGGACCGTCAAATCACGGGTCCGGGTCCGTTTACCCAAAATATTGACCGATGTCAACTTAAATTCATTTTAAAAGAAAAATTTATCATTTTCCATAGATTTTCACATAATGACTTTCCGGATACACGCCCGGACTACGCACGCCAATCGAGATGAGACAAAAAGGAGGTTTTAAGGCCTCAGAACACAAAATTTACTTTTAAAGCAAGTGATGACCTTTTGGGTAAAGGTCATCACATTCTCCACCTCTAAAACAACCTTTCGTCCTCGAACAGATATAAGAAGGAAGTACCTGAGTCGGAGAAAAGATGGGGATAACGGCTCCACATATCGGACTCGGACTCCCAGGTCGATGCCTCGACAGGCTGACCTCTCCACTGAACACGAACAGAAGGGAAACTATTCGATCTCAACTGACGAAACTGCCGGTCTAGAATAGCTACCGGCTCCTCCTCATTGGACAAATCCTTGTCCAACTGGACAGTGTTGAAGTCCAACACGTGGATGGATCGCTGTGATACTTCCGAAGAATGGACACATGAAACACTAGATGCACGACTGATAAACTCGGCGGCAACGCAAGTCTGTAAGCCACCTCTCCCACTCGATCAAGAATTTCAAATGGGCCAATGAATCTAGGGCTAAGCTTGCCCTTCTTTCCAAATCTCATCACGCCTTTCATAGGCGACACCCGAAGCAACACTCGCTCACCAACCATGAATGCCACATCATGAACCATACGGTTGGCATAACTCTTTTGCCTGGAATAAGCTGTACGAAGCCTATCCTAAATGATCACGACCTTGTCCAAGGCATCCTGTACTAGATCCGTACCCAACAACCGAGCCTCTCTCGGCTGAAACCACCCAACCGGTGACCGACACCGCCTACCATATAAAGCCTCATAAGGAGCCATCTGGATGCTCGACTGGTAACTGTTGTTGTAGGCAAACTCCGCTAAAGGCAAAAACTGATCCCACGAGCCTCCAAAGTCAATAACACAAGCTCGGACCATATCCTCCAAAATTTGAATAGTACGCTCGGACTGCCCGTCCGGCTGAGGATGAAATGTTGTGCTTAACTCGACCCGTGTTCCCAACTCATGCTGAACTGCCCTCCAGAAATACGAGGTAAACTGCGTACCTCGATCAGAAATGATAGACACAGGCACACCATGAAGACGAATAATCTCCCATATATAGATCTCTTCTAACCTGTCAGAAGAATATGAGACTGCCACAGGAATGAAATGTGCTGACTTGGTTAGCCTATCAACAATAACCCATGCTGCATCGAACTTCCTCTAAGTGTGTGGAAGTCTAACAACGAAGTCCATAGTGATACGCTCCCACTTCCACTCGGGAAGCTCAATCCTCTGAAACAAACCACTAGGTCTCTGATGCTCGTACTTTACCTGCTGACAATTCATACACCGAGCCACATATGCAACAATATCCTTCTTCATCCTCCTCCACCAATGATGCTGCCGCAAATCCTGATACATCTTAGCGGCGCCCGGATGAATAGAGTACCAGGAACTGTGGGCCTCATTTAGAATCAACTCTCGAAGTCCATCCATGTTAGGCATACAAATACGACCCTGCATCCTCAAAACTCCATCATCCCCATCTGTGACCTGCTTGGCACCACCGTGCAGCACTATGTCCTTTAGGACACACAAATGAGGATCATCATACTGCCGATCTCGAATACGCTCCAATAATGAAGAATGAGCGACTGTGCAAGATAACACACGGCTGGGCTCAGAGACATCTAACCTCATGAACTGATTGGCCAAAGCCTTAACATCCAAAGCAAGCGGTCTCTCACCGAGCGAAATATACGCAAGACTGCCCATACTGGCTAACTTCCTACTCAAAGCATCGGCCACTACATTGGCCTTCCCCGAATGGTATAAGATTGTGATATCATAGTCTTTCAATAGCTCCAACCACCTTCTCTGCCTCAAATTTAGCTCCTTCTA